GTTCAAGTGGACTAATCTGTAGCTGGCTACAGGATGCTGAAAAACCACAAGAAAAATAAAAACTAATAATCTGGATTTTTCTAACTATCCAAATGTTTGGCATAGTTTAAAAAACTGATTTTTTATAAATCATATATTAACCTAGATGTGTGGCACCACATATAAACTGACTATAAATACATAGCTCAGCATTTAAATTTATACTATTTAAAGCATACTTAAAATGGCCATATTTATATCTGATATTAGTATTTATAAAACAAGGACTTGGCAAAGATGTGTGTTACACCTTTCCTAGGTGTCTTCTTTCTATCGAATTTCCTAATTACCAACATGGTAGCATTTTGGTAAACACCCCATTCCACACTATTCCCTCATTGACTCATTTGGTAAATTTTATCTTATTATTTTGACCCTGTCATCAGAGGGACTAGAGAAAAGTAATGTACTTGTACGCAAGTAATGAGACTCTTTTTGCTATATAAATAAAATATGAGATTCTGGGGCTGAAATCTGACACATTATTTAGTATCTTAAAATAAATACCTAACTGAATTGTGGTACAGGGCCTAACAGTCTTAAATCTATCAAGCAATTTATAATTATCTACATTCTACATCAACGAACAGTTAAAGTTATCCAAAGGACATAAGCATAATTCTCCAGTGAGTCACAAAATCATTGCTTCAATCATAAATAATCCAGGAGCAATATAGTCCATAGGCTTAATAGTCTTTGTTAAATCATTCTCAAAGCAATAAAGGCAGATCAAAATAAAGCTATCTTGTGGTTGAATGCTCTAATGTAAAAGTTAATTTAATATGTGCTAAAGGGTTCTAGTGAAGAGGAAATATATTTCCAATAAAGTGTATACCAAGAAATTACTCACCAGTAATAAACATTTGACTCTCATTTGTAGTAGTGAGGTAAACCAGTTTAGGTACTTGGTCATTATTTCTCACAACTTTCAACTGTGTACACACAAAATATGTCACTGTAGAAAATGAAAACACTTATGAAATGACTTTTGCATTTCAAAGAGGACATGCCAAGATCAGGACCTAACACAATACTTCTCAAACTTAAAAGAGCATAATGAAACGAACATTTCCTGATTCAAATCACCTGGGGCTATTGTTAAACTGCAAACTATGACTCAGTAGGTTTTGCATTTCTAATAAACTCATAGGTGATACTGGTGCTAATAATAAACTCATAGGTTCCTTTGACCACACTTTGAGCAACAAGGATCTATCATTTATTAGCCTACTTTCTACAAGAGACCTTTCCTTTAGAAAGTACGACTGCATCTAACTGAAGTCATTTGCTTGCTGCACAGCTGAAGAGTGCAAGAGTCATTCTATTACGGCACTCAACTAAGTGTCAACAGTTATTTCTACAAAGATAAAAATCTTAGTTTCTCCATGATACTTTCACTGATTAATCCAATCTAACACTGATCCCTAAATTACTGACTCCTTCCAGTAGAAGGAGCCGTGGTTGCCCAGTGGTTAAGTGTTCAGCTGTTAACCAAAAGGTCAGCAGTTTGAATCTACCAGCCGCTCCTTGGAAACCCTATGGGGCAGTTCTACTCTGTCCTAGAGGGTCGCTATGAGTTGGAATCGACTTGACGGAAGGGGTTTGGTTTGGTTTTGGTTTCCAGTAGAAAGGTCTATACAGTATTAAATTGTATTTGCTTATGCAAGTGTTTCATATCTTTCGTGTGTTTATCTTAATTAGACTTTAAGCCTCACTGGCAGGACTTATACCACGTATTTATTTTCTTCTCTCCTTGCTAACTAACTTGATTGACTGAAAAAAAAAAAATTCCTGAAAATGAGATAACGTCTTCAGACTTCAAATACTTTCAAAAGCTATCGATTGCTTTTAACTACCTACATGTGGTTTAGGTTCATTAATCCAACATTATTTTTTATTTTAACTCAATACATCAAAAAAAAAGTTATGGTATTACAAACAAGGAAAAGAAGAAATATTTAAAATATAAATACTTGTAGTAGTAACACAATAACAGTAAAAGTTCTCATTTAAGAATAAAAATTTCTTAACAGCAAGATAACTAGAAATTCATGTCCTAAATCTCATATTTACTAGTTCTTTATTCTGTAGCAATGAAATAAAAGGAAATCTTTTCAAATGACTAAGATAATTTTATTAATTTATATCACCTTTCCTTTATTTCAAAAACTGTACAAACGTGCCTATTAATGGTTAAAGGGGTTGACACAGGAATATTAAAGAACCCTCTAATTCTAAGTTCATGGCTGTTAACATCAGACAGTCAGATCTAACACTTTCTAGCTGTTTGACATTCAGAAAATTACTTAAACCCTCCGGACCTTAGTTGCCTCACCTGCAAACGTGTAAAAACATCAAGTCTTTAAAAGGTAACTGGGAGTACCTTTATAAGCAACTGGTACATAATAAACACACAATATTAGTGTCCCTTAGTTCTTAATTTTCCTTAAGCAAAATTAAAAAAAAAAAAGACGTCCTACCACCAAAGGATTTTGGTAGTATCCCCCTCATAGGCCTGAAGCCCCCTTAATCCTTATCTTTCATTTAATGATTTTTTTCCCCATCACTACTGGTCAGAAGTTAAAAATAAATTGTGATCGTTGTCAACTATTGTACTATAATACATCTCACCAGGGCCTGCACATACCTTTCTTAGAAAGATAAATTTCACATTATCACAAGAAATAGAACATGTATTCTTGGCCAAGTTTCTTTGAGAAATCTTTATCCAATAAGTGTGTCAGCCTGTTGTTTATAGGGGCTATAAACAAAGAGAGAGGGATCTGGCCATAAAACCCACCTAAAATGAAGTAATGGAATTACAACCAGAGGTCATCACTGCCAACCATTTACTCCCTAAGAGAAGTTACATGAGAGGCCACACCCCCACTCACTTAGGAATCAGATGCCTTGGTTATGACCAAAACCCTCTTTCTTTCCCCTCTCCCTCAAACTGGGGTAAAGTTCTATTCATATATATATATATATATATATATATATATTTGATCTTACAAGCAGAGGGTGGAATCTGAATGGTGAGAAATAATGTTTTGCATAGAGAATAAAGGGACAACAGAACAGCCCTGTATATGGTCTCTAGGACTTTCCGTGTTCTACAACTTCTACTTCATTGGTGGTTAAAAAAAATTAGATGTAGTCAAGATTGGGAGTTTTCCCAATGTTGGCAAGCTTTTTAACACAGAAAATAATGAGTATTTATAATCATTTGTAAAATAATAAAACAGAACACCATATCTAAAGTAGCTTCATGCTCAGAATTCAAATAAAAAAGTCACTGAACTTGTTGAAAAGTATTAACTATATATTTTTTCTATCATAAGAGAGCTAAAGACTAACTTGATGTATGAAATATATAACAGGACATATCTAAAATGGTTTCAAATAAACAAAATCAGTGGAAAAAATAAATATCTTTGTATCTTAATGAATGTAGGGGCAAAAGTTAATGCCAAAGTAAGCAAAACATTGGTATAACATCACCAATCTAATATGAATTTAGCAAATAGAATCATACTTATCATTATCATTATTTAATTATACAGTATGTCTATCCTCTACCAATTAATTTCATATTAGTAAAATCTTCAATGTCTTTAATGGGTTCTACTCAGTCAATTTCCAAATGGATACAAAGGGAATTGACTTTCCATGTTTTAGCTTTACTGAAACTTAAGGCTTTTATGTATGAAATGCTAACGATGATAATTGATAAGAGCACCTGTTTTCTGAAAAAACTGGTTTCAACTCCAAATTAATTCTGAATAGACAACCAGTATAATCTTCCCCAAAGTAGGTGGTTACTATACATAATACCACGTATGATATTAACATAGAAAAGATTTAAACATGCTGTCAGAATGCTTGAAATTGCTAACTCAATATCGCACTACTTCCATAGGTCAATTTACCATTTTTTCTTAAAGTTAATGCCCCCCACTTCCAAAATTAAATTATAAAAATATAAGAGCTGAGTACTTGGGCAAATATTTTCAAAGATTTCTGGCTGAGATGTAGAAAACAATTCCACAATAAATGGTTGTTTTGAAGTTGCATCAGCAATGTGAATCCAGCGATATGTCCAAAAATCTTCACTGTTTTCTATATGGATAAAATATTGAAATGAATTAAAGTAACTTATTATACACATATGAACACAAAAACTATTCACTGAAATACATTTTATGACTTTCAAGTTTAAAAGCTTATCTTTCTTTTTTAACCGCTGTACCCTTCCTACAAAAACTAAAATCCCAGTAACATCACAGATATGATTTACTGGCAAATTATCCAGTTCTGAGCTAAAAAAAGCAAAATTGTTAAATAAATATTGTATCTTTAAACTGAAAAAGCATTCTACAATTATGATTATGAAAATGTATATCTATATAATTGCTACAGCATATATGTGGGTAGACTTTGAGCAAATTATAATGTATTATGTTTCAGTGACTAATGCTGAAAATTAAATAGCTAAGACATTTTACAAGAAACTATTTTACCTTGTGACAAATTGGTGTCTTAATTGCGGCAATCTCCATCCTGATTTCAACTACTATTCTGGAATGATATTTATATTAGTTGGAGGATCTTGAAGGTTCAGGCAGATTTCTGAAAAACAAATTATGTTACTTTAATATGATATTTAACACACGCAAAAGCATATATATGTATAAATTACACAGCGAAATAATATACTGAACACTTGCGAACCCACTATTAAACCCAAGAACTAGACTTTCTTCTCTCTCCTTTATCACATTCACTTATCTCCCCACCAAAGGTTAACCGTACCTTGAATTTTGTGGTTTAGCATTTCCTTAATTTTTTAAAAAAGGTTTTATCACTTATGTATCTTTGCCCAAACAAATTACTATTTCGTTTGGTTTACTTTTAAACTTTATATGAATGAAATCATACCATATACAGTCTTTTAGGACTACTTTTTCACTCAATATTATGGTCCTAAGATTTATTCCGTGTGGCTTAATGTAGCAGGTTTTTGTTTTTTTCATTTTTACTGCTGATTAATGTTCCATGGTGTTAATAAACCACAATACATTTACCTATTATCAGGTTGGTGTCATCTGGATTATGTCCAGGCTTTTGATGTTACACACAGGGCTGCTATGAACATTTTTTTTAATTATACTTAAGGTGAAGGCTTACAGAACAAATAGTTTCTCATGAAACAGTAGTACACATATTGTTTTATGACATTGGTTAACAACCCCACAACATGTCAACCCTCTCCCTTCTCGACCTTTTTTTTTTTTTTTTGGTGAAAATATACATAGCCAAAGACATACCATTTCAAAAATTTCTACATGCACAGTTCAGTGACAGTGACTATGCTCTTGCAATTGTGCTGGTATTCTCACGTTAGATGAAGGCTTACAGAACAAAATAGTTTCTCATTTAACAGTACACATATTGCCCTATGACAATGGTTAACAACCTCACAACACATCAACACTATCCTTACTCAACCTTGGGTTCCCTATCACTAGCTTTCCTGTCCCCTTCTGCCTTCTGGCCCTTGTCCCCGGACTGCGGTGCCTCATTAGTCCCATTTGGTTTTATGGGGCTCTCCTCTTCCTGGCTGAACGGTGAACCTCGGAAATGACTTCATCACTGAGCTAAACAGGTGTCTGGGGGCCATACTCTTGGGGTTTCTCCAGTCTCCTTTAGGCCAGTAAATCTGGTCTTTTTTTTTGTGAGTTAGAATTTTGTTCTACATCCTTCTCCAGCTCTGTCCAGTACCCTCTGTTGTGATCCTGGTAAGAGCAGTCAGTGGTGGTAGCCGGGCACCATCTAGCTGTACTGGACTCAGTCTGGTGGAGGCCTTGGTAGCTGTGGTCCATTAGTCCTTCGGACTAATCTTTTCCTTGTATCCTGTTCTCTTCATTCTCCCTTGCTCCCGAAGGGATGAGACCAGTGGAGTATCTTAGATGGCTGGCTATGAACATTTTTGTACACGTCTCCCTGTGCTCACAGCCAAGAGTTTTTCTAAGATATATACCTAGGAGTGGAAACCCTGGGTTGTAAGATGCACAAACGTTCAATTCTACAAGATAATCTTAAATTATTTTTGAGTAATGTATCTATTTATATTCCCACTAGCAATGATTCATTAAAACAAAACCTGTTGCAATGTTCCATATCCTCTCCAAGTTTTGGTATTATCAAATATCTAATTTTAGTTGGAATCAACTCGATGGCAATGGGTTTGGTTTAGTTTAGTGATGTAAATTAACAATTTGTTGTGGCCTTACTTTGCAATTTCCTTATTACTAATTATGTTGAACAGCATTTTATATGCTTATGGTCCATACACACTCCCTCTTCTGTGAAATGCCTGTTTGTGTCTTTTCTCCATTTTCCTATTGGATTGTCTGTCTTTTTCTTATTTATTTGCAGGAGTTCTTCATATACTTTGGATACTAACCCTTTGTGGATTATATAGTTGCAAATAACTTCACCCAGTTTGTGGCTTGTTTTTTTCATTCTCTTTATGGTGTATTTTGAAAGGAAAAAAGTTCATCATTTTAATAGAGTAAGGTTTATTAACCTTTTTTGATGGCTACTATTTCTTGTGTCCTACCCAAGAATTTTTTCCTGATTCCAAGGTCAAAATGATATGTTCTATAAGTTCTTCTAAAAGTTTTGCCTTTTACATTTAAGTATTTAATATATCTGAAATTGATTTTTATATGGTATGAGATTAGGGATATAATGTCATTTTTTCCATATATATAATCAATTGTCCCAATACTATTTACTGAATAGTCCCTGATTCCCTGATTATCTATATAGCACATCTATTATATATTAAAGTTCTGTATGTCTTAAGGCTGTTTTTCAACTCTGTATTATGACTCACTGGTCAATTTGTCTATACCTATATCATACCACACTGTCATAAATACTACAGCTTTATAAAAAGCAATTTTGTCACCTGGATATGCTTGGTTATGGGACAGAATTTATAATTTAATAGACATAATACTATATGTTGTGAATTATCTCCCTCTTAACAATTTTTACTGTGTTTTCTCAAGTAAGTCATATCTCTTATTAGTGTAATTTCTTACCTTTCTATTGTAAGAAGTAGTGAGATAATGGATTAATTGTACAAAACTATCAAGGTAATAACTTCTTCATCTAGCAGGATGTAAGCAATGTCTGCAAAATGCTCAGGATTTTAAGAAAGGGTCATACAAGGTTTTCTTAAATAAACATATATTTCACAAAACAATGAACTGCTGTTATTTATGTGAACATTCTCTAAGTAATCAAATTTAACAGATTAGCTGGGGAATTTAGAATACATAGAAACACAGATCCAGTAATAAAGTATTATAAGCCAAAACAACAGAAACTTGTTGACTGACATTATCTACAGTTCTGAAAAATAAAAAATGGAAAAAAAAATCACATCCACATCTTAAAACAATCATGCTATGTATTAATTCTAATGCTCCCAAAATACTTGGGATGCCAAGATGTCAAAACTTTAATTTCAATACTAATTAAGAAAAGCCCTCTCAAGATTGCAGCAATTGGCAAGATTTGAACATTAACTATAGGTTAGATATTTCTATTGTATCAATTGTAAATCTCCTGATTTTGATAAATGAACTGTGGTTACATAATAGAATGTTCTTGTTCTTAGGAAATACACACTTAAATATTATTGAAGTATTTAGGAATTCAGAGGAAAAAATATATACACATGTGTGTATATATATGTAAGTGTGTGTATATATAGAGAGAAAGAGGCAGAGAAATAGAGATAAAGATAGAGAAAGCGAAAGATACACACACATAAATACACACAGAGAATGATAAAGCAAAGGTAAATGTTGACAATTGTTGAATCTGAGTGAAGGACATATGTGAGTTCTTTGTACTATTATTTAAACTTTTACGTAAGTTTGAAATTATTTCCAAATAAACGTTAACAAATCTTTTCAAGACAGCACCTAATAGTAACAGCAAAATATATTCGTCATTAACTTAATACTATGTGATAAAAACAAAAGAAAACAAAAATATGTACATCACAAGTGGAGCTCATTTGTAAATCAACAATAAACATCTCGGATGATTTTTCTTAACAAATGCAATAATAAGTAAATGTACTTATTAAGTTATATGATTGTCTGAAAAATGTAAATTTTATGGATAAAGGAATTTAAAGGTTTGACAAGTTTTAACAGCTTCAGTAATTTTCATGGGCCTTTACCTGATATGGTTCTTTGCAAATTTATACAAACAAAATAGTCATAAGACAAATTCATTGAATACTTAACCTACTGAAGAAATTAGTTTCATATGTGGATCCATAGGGGGATGCTGCATCCTGAATGGATAACTTCTCTTAATGGTATGCTGTTGAAGCAGAAGAACTAAACTGACCTGCAAACATTTATACCACTCAGGACACAAGGCATTCCACATAATCACTGAAACCACGCCTGAATTGTCAGCAACTTCCAAAAAGGTCTAGGAAAAAAAAAAAGAGTAAAATAAAATACATATTTGTTCCTTTTATCTATACAGATGACACAGAGTATATTATTTGTGATAATTTAGACTGATATAAAATAACATCTAAATTTTAATTCTTTATTAGTAATGATTCAGTTGTCAACTCTGCTAAGTACTGGTGATCTAACGGAGAGATTGTTACTAGATACGTTCAAATCCTGAATGTACTACTAACTTATGTGTGATTATAAATTCTAAGAGTACAGATCAGATATTATTTATCTTTGGTTCTCTGTACTGTTTAGCACAGTGCCTTGCAGAGTAACCACACAGTACATTTGTCAAATGAATGAGATAAGTCACATTTTAGAGACTCTAAGGGTAGATTCTGACTTGATTCTTGTTATTGTGACGTGTTGGGAAGCCCTGATATTTATGGTGTCTTTACTTGGTTTTGGTATCAGGGTTATGCTGGCTTCATAGAATGAGTTTGGGAGTATTCCATCCTTTTCTAGGCTCTGAAATACCTTTAGTAGTAGTGGTGTTAACTCTTCTCTGAAAGTTTGGTAGAATTCTCCAGTGAAGCCATCCAGGCCAGGGCTTTTTTTTGT